GGGGGTGCAGCTCGCTAACAAAGGACGCGAGGCGACCGCTCTCAAAGACGAGATAGCCGCATTGCAAACGGACCTCTCGAGAGCGCGCGAAGAATGCGCGGACGACCGGAGTGCCGAACTTTCCGTCCATCTAGAAAAGGCTAAAGACGAACTGCAACGGACGTCCCGCGATCTGGCGGCCGCCAAGGAAGCCGAAATCAGGCTGAAGTCGAACCATGAAAAAATCGAGAATGAAATTCCTCAGTGGAAGCAATGGGTCGAAGAATTGAAGAAGGCACGAGACGAATCTCACGAATCCCACGCCAAGGAACTCGGATCGCTTCGAGACAATCTCGAGAGGGAGAAATCGGACGCTGAAACGAAACTTGCAACGGCGAAGGCGAGCCACTCGGACGAGATCGAAAATCTTGAAACGCATATATCTTTCCTTAAAAAAAAGGAATCGAAACTGAGAAAAGACACAGGTAAGTTGCATGCGGCCCTAAAGGAACGGGAAGAGAAGCATCTCGATCGGATAGCTAAACTGGAATCCGATAAGATTTCGCGATCGGCCGAAGCGGAAGAGGCTCTTGACGAGTGCGCGTCCCTCTCAGAGAAACTGAAGCTCGCGACCGATTCCGAACGTCGGTCGAAGGAGGACCTTAATAGGTGGCAAGCCGAGAAGAGGTCGTGGCAAGCGACGGCCGAACGACGTTCGGCAGATCTCGACAAGCTTCGCGACCTGCTGAAGACGTCCGAGAGAGAACGCGCAAATCTTGAGTCCCAACTTTCGAACGTTGACAAGAATGTAACGGATTCGAAAGAAACGGATTCGTTGAAGCGGGAGCTGGAAAGACATCGACAGGAGATCCGACAACTCGAACGACTTTTGAGCGACGAAAAGAGGGAGAAGTCGGGTGAATCCAACGATAGAATGATTTCGGAACTAAGTAAAGAACTCAAAACGGTCATCGACGCGCGCGATAGACTGGTGAAAGAGAACACCGAAATGGAAAAGAGGCTATCGGAATCAGAAAAAAGTCTGTCGAATTTGTACGACGAATCGATGAAAAAGGTTGTCCACCTCGAAGAATCGGTGTTTTCGAAGAACAAGGAAGCGGAAGAATTGAGATCAGATTTGACGAAAACGAAGATGGAGATGGACGAGATCAAAAGACAACTCAACTTTTCCAATAACAAAGTGGCGGAGGCGTATTCCGAAGTGACTCGAATCGTCGAGAACTCGGAAGACGGCCGATTGCACGAGGAATGTCGAGAACTTCTCACACGACGCCTCGATGACGTGGAACGTTCGTTGGAAAAGGAAAGGATAAAGGCGGCCAATTGTGAGCAAATGAACAAATAATTAATTCGACATATATCCTATCTGACGAACGAAATAGAAACAGTAAATTACAGCCGAAGTGTCGAGGTAATCACATTGCGCCGATTACTGAACGATTGCAGACGCGAAGGGTCTCAACGACAACTTCGGGAACCTCCCGGTCGCCGTAACGTCGGTCCCAGCTACAACGTCATCGAAGACGCATGTTCCGGAAGTTCTGCGTGCGAATCCGAAGAGGAAGTTGACGACGACGTTAGCGAAGACGTCCTCGTCGGCAACTCCGAAGAGAACGAAAACCCCGTCCCATCCCGTTCGTCGTGGACTACCGACCAAGCTCCACCGCCTACGGAGGGTTGATCGGAGAGGACGAATGTTTGTTTCATCAGCTTCTGAACCAAGCAAGACGGTTCGTCGAGTCCGAGGACGAAGTAACGGAGGCGGCGAAGCGGTTGTCCGACAGGTACGGTTCGACGGCCTTCGCGCCGACCGTGGTTTACGCTGATTTGCCCACGCCGGCCACCAGATCTCTCGCGATGTTGATAGCGTTCATGGGAAAGATTCCCGGCGTGACGCTGCTGAAACCGAGCGAGTGCACGGTTCCCATCTGCTTCCTTTCGAGCAATGACCACGCCGGGTTCGCCGGAAGGGGAGACGCGCGCTACGTGCTTTTCGACGACGACGCCGAAAGCATAAAGTGGACGGACACGGATACGCTCGTCCATTTGGCCGAGAGGATACTGGATCGCAACTGCGAAGAACGCGAGCGGGAGAGACGCGAACTCGTCACTTCCGTTTTCTGAATGTCTTTCGAAATTTGGAGGAATCTCGAAGTGCGCGTGCGAAGGAGATGGTCGAGGTGGGCGCGAGGGAGGAGGGTGATAGACGCCGACCGCCGTCTAGAATTATTCAAGGGAGGTGAGCAGGAGGAGGATGACGACAACGACGAAGACGATTCGTTGCAGTTGGAAGCTGCGTGCGGAAGTGGCACAGACAACGACGTCGTTCCCTCCTACGCAAGATGCTTAGTTCTAGCGGAACACCTTCTGCGAGGGACGGATTCGGTCACGACGGAGTGCTGCACCATGACCGACTTCGACGCCGTGCTCGCGCGACACGTGCTGTTCCCTTGGACGAGCGAGCATTCGACGGTGATATCGAGGCGCCTGTCGGCACTCTGGAGGTTCATGGTCGTCGTGGGCACCGTACCGGCGTTGCCCATAGGTTGTTGTCCGAACGTCGGGTACCGGTGTTTCGTTTGCAGGAAGGAGCAGACGGACGAGGAGTGCCACCATCTCGTCACGACGATCGCGAACGAAGGTACGGAAGACGAGGAGGATATCTGCCGCGGTGCTCCTCCAGTATTCTCGCGTCTCGACTCTCGCCAGTCGACGAGACCGGAAGTCGCCGAGAAGGACGAGTTCGAGATCGCGAGGCGCGTCGACAGGCGTGCGAGATCGGCCGCCGACAAGCTGAGAGTGGAGATCGAAAAGGAGATAAGGTACGCAGAAGCGTGCTTCCGATACGCCTCCCTTCCAAAGACCGTTAGTCTCGGTTGCATAGCGCACGTCGCGAAGCTCGTCTCGTTCGAAAAGCGCAGACGGCAGCTGGCGAACGTGGAACGAGAGACGTTCGACCACAGGGATCTGGAAAGGTGGTCCCGAAATCTGCTGGAGCCGATGTTGGCCAATCCGGACAGGCGCGATCAGAGACGGGCCGCGATGGCCTCGTTCTTCCGTTTGGTGGTCGATCCGACCTCGGTGGTGAGGGACGCGTCGACGACGAGACACGAGACCGCCTTCCGAACATGGATGGAAGCGTGCGAAGTGCCCGCCGAGAGCGTTTGGGATTACGTCGACGGACTGAAGGGCATGACTCTGAAGACGAACGTCGAAGACGACCTGACTGGCCTGTACAAATGTCTACTCACCTGGCACGTGTTCCTAGCCATGCCCGTTTCGGGGGGAGGCGGCTCCTCTCGCATCATCAACAGGGGCGACGTGGACGGTATGCCGGACGCGGACGGGCTCTGCTTTCTGTACGACGACCGTCGCTTTCTGGTCAGGAGAGGGGACCGAACGATGACGTTCGTTTACGAGCGAGCGCTCGAATCGTGCGTGGCTTGGATCTACCACGGACCATTACCAATCTCGTCCTCTACGGTAACGAACGTGCTGTTCCACGCTGGTTTCGACGACGATCGATATGAGATCGGCGAACAGGAGCGCGAGACGGGCCGACATCTGCGACACGACCAGGTTTTGAATCCTGTAGTCGAGTCCGGTCATGACGGTCACGCGAACTAGCACCTCGGTCGCGAAGAGCAGCTTGCCCTGTCCGTCGTAATATCGGTTCAGAAATATGCCGATGGTATATCTTAGATTGCAGTAGAAGGTTATCGCGAAAAGTACAAGATTCGCAGAAAGCAGATCTCGATACTTTCTTATCTGCTTATCGTACGTATCCCCCTGCCAGTCGTACCGGTCGAACAGACCGTAGAGAACAAACAGGAAGATTAGGAGCGCCGCGATGAGCGGAGCGAACTTCTTCATCCTTTAACGAATGCTTACAAAAACCGACGCCCGAGAGTTCGATCGATCATACGCAAACATGTTCGGGAAAAAAAGAGACGATCGAGTACAAGAGAGTGGAATCGATGCGCAACGTGGCTTCCATGGAACAGAAGTTCGAGGAGAAGGCCGCGGCCGCTCGACGGAGCGTGGAAGCCGGGGTGAAGAACGGTGCCGGACCCCGAAAGTTGGCGTCCCTCATCAGACGCGCGTCGGATTACGAGCGTCTGCAATCGACTTCCCAGAAGGCGATTTACGATCTAGAGAAGGACGCCCTGTCTTCGGAAATGCGAAACATAGACGGTCTGCAGTGCGAACGGTTGAAACGAGAAGATCACGAACTCGGCAAATTCGAGAGGCTCACCAATCCCCACAAACTATGCAGACGTATAGCGGCCGTGAAGGTCAGAAGAGACCGTCGCAAAGTGGGAGTGGAATCCATAAGGGATTTGCTAGACTCGGAATCGGACGACGGAGACTGCGACGACGACGAACACTCGCCCGAGATGCAACTCACCAAAGACCTCATCGACGACGACGTCTGGCAAAAGGTGACCGAACTGCCGGAACCGTGTACAAGAAAAAAAGACGATCACTTTTCTTTGCAATAAATAACATTTTTAAAGGAAAGATAGAAATAAAAGAACGAGAAAAAAAAACTTTTGTGTTTTCAATTCATTATTATTTTTTATTGATCATCGGCAAGTTCGCACGAGGCGCAAGCATCGCGCGAGGTGATGGCGCCGCATCTGCAAGAACGCATCATCGCCAAGTCGGGTTGCTTGACTGTCAGCCTGACTCCGGCACCGTCGAGGGCCAAGGGCGCCAACCTTCTCGAGTGGCAGTTGTAACA